TTTACGTGACAACACTGAAAAATTTTTTGACATCGCAGAAAACTAGCTTTCTTCTATCACCCGCGGGGGCCATTCCTGTAATTATGCTTATTAACTTGACGACTGCATTTTGGCACGCCAAAACGACAATCGCGGTTCACAAGCATTCACAGTAAGTTCCCGAGCAAGAGAAACAAAGAAAGCCGAGAAGCGATTTTGACTGTGTCGACGTGCGTAGCGCACCGACTAAGATATGTAGATAGGATTGAACCTATCCAACACTTGCAGACAGGGAAATCACGTACAGCTAGCATAAGCAAGCCCAGTGTATCCCCTTCAAATCTGCACATAACGATACCCATTTTATTCATTTGTGAACGTTGGGAACACCGAAAACTCTTCATCGAAAAGTTTCCATCCCATCCTCACACTCACTTCTACAGTTCAACTCAAAAATTCTTTATTGAACAGTGCACTCATCTCATTTACAGACATTTCGCTTCGTCTTTATGCGGTCCTTTTGACCTGTTTCTTTGATTTCTTTTGAGGAGGTTCTTCCACCTCCTCTTCATCGATTTCAACGACTTCATCTTCTTTGTTCATTTCCTTCTCCTTCTCCTTTTCGAGGGCAGCTAGCCTACGTTCCAATTCCTTGACACGGTCATTATTCAATAACTTTTCTAACTCTGATCGCTGAATCGTGAGGTGCCCATTCCTATAATAGGAGGAGTTAATTTATCTCATCCTATTTTATTATGCGCAACTTACATGATACGAGCGGTTGAGAAGAATTCGAAACATACAACATACAAACATGTTCGAACATCCAACGTTCGCAAGCATTCCCTGTATTCGCTTTGCACTAGTCATTCAGTACTGAGTAGTCGAAAGCTCTTATAGGATTTCGCCTTGATGAAATTCAATAGTCTGACATCCTATACAGGACGGCAAGAATTAGATCCGAGCAAGTGTCTCATGTTATCTTGCTGCGGCTAAGTCGAAATTGTCGCGATTGAAACACGTCTCTCGGTATAAAAAAATATACCACTGTATATAGCTATATACTACTGCTCTCTAGTCAGCCACCGTTGAACCAGTCAACTCAACTCTTTATTCATATCAACATTATATCAACGCTATACTATTCATACATAGCATAGTCACCTCTTCTCGCGCTTTGCAGCGCCCTCATTATCACTACTGTCACTAAACACACGGAAGTGACCACTTCGACGTCCTTGGGAGGTTCGGCCTTTTCAGGCTTCCCCTCCCGTACGGGACATTTAGGCTTTCGCCATCTTTGCGCGAAAGCTCCACTCTCTCCTTTTTCAACCGGTCCAGCCGATCCTTTAACTCTTAAAGTGCCTCCATTATATCTGAGGCTTCCTTGATTCCAATCAGGGCCGCCATTTCATCCTTGTTGAAGGAGACCCGGCCATTGCTGAAAATAGATTATATTACACTGTGATGTAATATTGCGATTGCGTATTGTATGTGTACGATTGCGACGACACGATAGACATAGCACACAAGAGAGACTGAGATGAGCGATCTTGACGGACTTCGAAAGGATGACCTCGACATGCATGGCGCGTCGACAAACATATGTAGATAGGATCGACCCTATCCAGCATGTAAAAATAGGGAGATCACATACAGCTAACATAGGCTAGCCCAGTGTATCCTATGCAAATCTGCTCATAACCATTTTACATTCGTGAACGTTGGGAGCACGAAAACTCTTCATCGAATGGTAGATCAACTGCTGTAACTTCAACGATTCTAGATCAACTGCTGTAGGTCGCGGCATCGATCTCTCTATCCGCAACATTCGAGAAGATCAGCGCTGCGGCATTTCCTGCAAACCACGAATTGCTATTCCCAATTTTGCTCTCATCCTTCTCCTGGCATTGGGGAACGGGCTTTATTATGGCTCTCATCGCGGAGCATCAGACCTTTTTTCAGCTCCAGTCCCTTGACTGTGGTTTCGCCAGACAGTAGTTAGGGACAATGGGAATCTCGTAAATCCATTCATGTACGTCAGGTTTTTCTGATTGCCCTCCGCGACCTCTACCCACTGGGCCGATTCCATATGGCCACCACTTATAAGAGGTGACCTGGACTACTCTGTGGTCGCATTAAGCATGAGAATCCGACCCTTTAGTTTATTGTGCCTTTATGGCAACTCTTCGCGCATGAATGGAAAGTGAGCATTTACCCCTGTAAGGAGAGCCGCATGTTACAGGGGCTGACAAAGTCCTTCCCCTTGTACTGCAGCATGCTCGCTTCATGGCCTATATGTCGTCATTGGACATGTGGCACTTGATGATTCTATTTGTTCCAAGCACAGCACACCTTTGCATCTTCTCTATGATTGTCTTAGTGCCATCAGGCAGCTTAAGCAATCGGACGTACTCTCGTAGTTGGGGTCGCGATTTCGCCACAAGCCCCTATCACGATAGGTACGACCTCTACCCTCATGCCGTGTTGTGCTTGGAGTGCCGCCTTTAGGTTCGGACCAGGGAAGAAATCCTCTGGTTCCGTTCCTTCCGGAAGGCAGCTATTCATTCCATATTTACGGATCTTCTTGAGCTCTTGACGAGTGATTCTAGTGAACCACGAGACCGAGACCTCAATGATCCAAATTACTTTGTCCCTCAGGTCCTTGACTACTATGTCAGGCCTGTCGTGTCGCAAGTTCTCCCTCGTTGCAATGCGGTCATTCCAGTGTAACACCACATGATCTCCCTCCACTAGATGTGGAACGTGTGTGTTGGTTACTCTGGAACTCAGACCGTACTTCTTTTTCAACGAGTGGTAGATTACCCTGGCTACTTCATCATGTCGTTCGACCATGATATTGGTTCGCCAGTGGTTACATGCTGACACTATATGTTCTGCCGTTTCCTTTGCATTGCAACGCATTCGACACATCTGGTTACTATTCGTCCCAGATTGATTGTCCTGAAGCGCTGGCTTTTGTCGGCAGAGAAGCCTCTTGGGCAGCCCAAACGTTTCGTAAGACTTCAGAGGACACCCATCCGGTCTGTGACCACAAGAACGAATCCTTGTGACAGACGTATGGTTGCTCGTTCGTCTCGTTGTTACTGATCACTCTGCTCGCTACCACTCTTTGCTTCCATTCATACATTCGCGTTCGTGCCCATCGTTCGTGAACGAGGGTAGATATTGCTCTTGCGGCTTCTGTGGCCGCTGCGAATGTTCGATCTTTCACTTGAATAGAAGCTTGAGCAATGCGAGTCACTTCATCCTCCAACCTGTTTTCAGCCATCACGGCTCTAAAGTCGGAGGTGAGTGATCGTTTGTTGCTGCCTCTTAGGCTTTCACAAAGATGATAGGGGATGTGGAATTCTGGTCGAGAGGCGAGATAACACCATGTATAAACAATGGTGTGCTCCATCTCCTCCTCTGCGGACTTCAGTCCCAATCCTCCTTCTTCTTTGTTAACGTAGAGTCTTGGTACGCAGCTGTGGCCGAATCGCAAATGCGATTCTGCTAGCAGCTTACGGACGGGCGACTTTCATTCGAACGCTCTTGCCTTGCTTTCTCATTGTGCAGAACTTTCCTGTTCCATAGATTACACACGAGATCGCATATTTTAGTTTTGGGATCACCACTTGGTTATACCCATTGACCTTTTGGCGAACCGCAAGGTCGCTGAGCATAATCCTTCGGGCTGCGGCCAACGCTTTTTCTCTAGTACGAGACCACAGTTGATCCACACTTACAAGAGCGTTTTGTTCTGCTCCTAAATACTTGTAGAGCGAACTTGTACCTAGGACAGGTATCTCTTCCATCCCAGGTGTTGTGACCAGTGGCGGGGGGTGGTTCAGTGAATTCACAGCACACTTGCTGGGATTCATTCGAAGTCCTAACTCTCCAGCCACTTTCTGGATGCCCTCTTGGGCTTTCACTATATCATCCCATCTGGGCGAGTAAACCTTTAGATCATCCATATAGAAGAGATGGTTGATCTCTAGGGGTCCCTTCTGGCAAAGTCAGAGCTCCGGTGGATGTTCTATACGGGCTAACGTTGTTACGTAGCCACGCCGATATAGGAGCTATGGCCATACAGAAGAGGAGCGGACTGAGGGTATCCCCTTGCATCACTCCTCTTCTTACCCCTAACGGTTCACTCTTGACCATTTTGCCATTCTGATGTCCGCAAACCTGACGCTTTGCTTGGACATGATAACCGAGAGCAGCCTCCTTGTAGGGGAGGCCACTCCGGCTCTTGCCAAGATCCACTTAATAGCGCCATGAGACCGGACGTCGAAGGCTTGCGTACATGTCTAAAAACCCCCATAAAGTGTTGTAGTCACGTTTTGCGCAACCTTAAGGCGTCTTTACAGATAGTCTGATCCAAAATGTGCGCATGGGTGCAGCCCCAGATTCCTTTGCGCAAGGCTACCTGCTCCGGAGGGAGCACATCACCAGCGCTGAGGAAGTAATGTTGCGCCACATAGCGGTCAGGACTTTGTAGCATGTATTTAAACATGCTATCGGACGGAAGTCGCCGGGCCCACGGGCGCCGGCGCTCCCCTTTGGAATCAGAACTATCTTCCCTCTACACAACCAATTAGGGATGATTCTATGAGGCATACGTAGCGCATCAAGGCACCACGATTTTAGCCTCTCTCTTGCCTCTGGTATTTTCTTCCACCAGAAGCCCTGTATGCCGTCTGGACCTGTTGCTTTCCAAGGTTTTATCTTAGCGAATATCTTCGCCCAAGTTTCCTCGGACAGGTCTACAGCGGCTCTATTTTCGCCTCTTTGCACCGAGCGAGACCACGCTTGAAGGTCGTCTGACGGATGGAAAGGTTGCGACTCTCCAATGATAGATTTCCAGTGCTCGCGCACTTCCGCAACCGGTACATCAGCTTCCCCTTCGCGTGGTTCCCTAGCTACAGCAGGGTATCCCCGCTGTCTTTCTCGCTGGCGTCTTAGGGCTTGCTCTATTGTTTGATTTCAGAGTTTACAACCTTCAGCTGATCCTTGAACCTTATCCGGAGTCGCTGAATATCCACGGTTGTATTGACTCTTTGTATTCAGGAAATGACCCGGTACTGTTCACTAGGAGGTCCCGGGGCATTTCCACTTCTTCTCCTGAGTTCGTGCGATAGCGTCGAGACGACACTCACGAGGGTGTCTCTCAGTGCTTTCGCCTCTCTCAGTTTCTGGTGAGTTTTACCCGCTTTTTCAGCCTCGCCGTCCAACAGGATCGTTGTGATGGCTTTGGCGACAGCATACACTGCAGCGTTCAAAGCTGTCAGTGTGCGCTTATTGGTGGAGTTAGTGTGCCCCAGCTTCTCTGAAAGGATTTCATTTGCGAGCTGGAGCATGCCCTCAGGTATTTCTCCTTTGGGCCTTCTTATTGGTTGCCTGTCATGCGACTCTTTGGCTGCCTTGTAATAGGCATCGAATCGCTCTCTGAGCTTATCGCCGAGAGTCCTATCAGGTTGGCTCGTTTCCGAGTCACCATTAGGACTAGTTGACCGTTCCTCGATATGCTCAACAGGCTCCACTCCACCCTGCTGACTGTCCTGGTTAATCAGGTCAGTTTCTGTAGTAGCGGGTTGACTTTCCTCCTCCAGCGTATTTTCTGCTGGTGGGGCATTTCTCACCGTTCCTCGCTCAGTACGCCTGGCAAGGTTCGCGTAAGCAGCTTTAAGGGCCGCTTCTGTTCTTTCTGGGTCTCCGCTTGTTCGTGAGCTTTCCCAGGCCGTAACCACGTCAGCCCACATTATGCGACCGCTCGCTATTCTGTGTCTCTCGACCAGTTCTGCGAGCTTTGTTAATTCGTCGGCACTCCACAGTACACCCTTACGACGCTCTCTTCTGCGGTTCTGAGCATCAAGCTCGGAGGGCCTTTCAGGAGAGCGCCTGGTTTCGCGTCCGAGGATCGGAGTACTCTTAGCCTACGTCGGTGAGCCTTCGGTAGTAAGGGCAGCGTCATTCAATAGAGGACTGCTCGCCCCTCTAGATGTTATAGCTCTACCTTGATCCTCAACAGTGGGTGTACTAAAGGTTTGTCCGGATGTTAGGCCAGAGAACTCGTTCATGAGGCTCTGAACCGGTGAACTGTCGAGAAACCTGTGCTAAGCTACTCAAGTCAGTGTAGCTGCCCAGGCTTGATGGTACTTGTTCCACCTCATCTACGGCAAACCTAGTGCCAATCTCAGTTGTTTCTATGGACGACGCTTCAATGAGAACCGTACTTTCCGGCTCTTCATTTGGCAGAATTTCGGAAGTCATTTCTATGCCGCTCGAAAGCAGGCTATCATCATGACTCGATGGCAAAGATTCTGCCGCGTCAGTCAGTACAACTGATGTCGCAATCTCAGCGGATAAGCTAGTGGTTTGTCTGGATGTAAGATGAGAGGTCTCATCTACGGAACTCTCATCCGGTGAAACAAGAGCCTCTACTGTACTACTCTGAACAGAGTAATCACCGAGGCTTGGTGTCACTTGTTCCACCTCATCTACAGCAAACCTAGCACAGTTCTCAGTTGTTACCATCGGCGACGCTTCTCTGAGGGTCATCCTTTGTGATCCCTCGCTTTGCTGAATCTCGGAAGTCATTTCAATGCCGCTAGACAGCAGGCAATCATCATGACTTGATGATTGTGATTCAGCTGCGTCTGCCTGTACAACTGGTGCGGGTGTACTAGTAATTTGTCTGGATGCATGGAGAGAGATCTCCCAACTTTTTTTTTAGGGCAACTCATCATTGCGTGGAGTATCGGGAGCCTCTACAATGCTACTCAGAACTGAGTAGTTACCAAGACTCGATGTTACTTGATCCACCGCATCTACAGCAAACCTAGTACTTAGATCAATAGATGCTTCGGGCGACGCTTCACTAGGGACCATGTTTTCAGGTCCTCCATTTGGCTGAGTTTCGAAAGTCACCTCAGTCCTGTTCGAAAACAGGCTGCCAGAATGACTTGAAGTTAGTAATTCAGCCGCGTCTCCCAGCTCTATTGGCGTGGCTCGTCCCCGTCTTTTGACGAGCCTTGCGTAAGTGCCCTCTAACAAGGGAGGTCGTTCAGGGCGTGGTGCGCTTTTCGAAAACGGTTTTTTGCATATTGTAGGGGCTCATGCAAGGACCTGAAAAGTGTGCTTCATTTTCGCTGCGCGCTTCCAGGAAAGGTAAAAACGAGTGAAAAGAAATCTTTGGAATCTGCTTCGTTCTGGGCCTCTATACGGCGTAGGTCACTTGCAACTTTGACCAGTTGCTGAGTGGGGGGTCCTTATAAAGGGGCTATTTGAATCGAAGCGAAAAGTCGCCGCAAGTGAGCTTCCAACTTGGGTCATGTGCTCAGGGGTGAACGGCTCCTTGCTATGGTTTCATCAACGATAACAGCG